CAATCGGGCTAGCCGCAAACGTCCGTGCCGTATAGCGTGAATAACCCTGTAGAATAGAGATCATTCTTAACAGTTTCCTGCAAGCTGGCGCCCTATCCTCAGCCAGTTCCCTACAGTTTCACTACCGCACTGCCCATAAGGGCCACAATAATTCTGTATTTCCCATCTAAGAACGCGATTTCATCCACTGTCGGTATCAAATTGAATATTCATGAAACATTTTCGAAAAAATAGATGATTATGATGATAGAATGATTATTTAATATTTCGAGAATTATTCAAAATTTGCATTGGAGCTTAATTTTATTATCTTCCAGTTATGATCACCTGCGCTCTTTTTGTACTATATTTTGTCCAATCTCCTCTGGCTTATTGCTTCAGCTGCTAGCCCCAGATCTCATGCCAACTCCTAAAAATTCATTGAGTTACCCAGGCCTAGCAATGCCCTCTTTCCTTCTTTTAAGAAAGGAAGCTTTAGACTTTGTCAACTGAAAAAACTCAAACTCGACTGCCCGAATAACGGACAGTAACTTTTCAACACCGCTACTCACAACACAACACACACATTCTAATAAACCCTTTCCTAGGGCCGATCTGCCATCTCCAGACAGTACCGCCCGAGAAGAGGCCCGAAATGTTCCAGCCACGGTACCCCGAAGCAAGAGCAGCGACTTGCTGCGCTCCAGCGGTGGCAAGAAGGAGTCGCCCGATGTGAAGATATCGCGCTTCAACAGCTTGAAGCAATGGGGCAAGAGCCAGTACGAGAAGTTGCGCAACAAAAGTGTGGAGAAGAGCGAGACCAGCTCGGGCGGACACAAAAGCCGAGTGGCCTCGGCTGAGGACGGTTTGGACGACTTCAACCTGTATGAAACGGTGACGATGAAGAGGAGGAGGGACTTGGATAAAGAGCGCAAAACGCATGAGAGGAACTCCTCTATATCCAGCTCGGAAAAGTCGGTGCCTGCCGCGACTTTGTCTTCGGTGATGAATATTGCTGTGAAGCTGCGGGACAGCTCGCTGCAGCGCCGGCGACGGCAGGGGAACAAGGACGAGCCGAATTCCTCCAGTGGGAACTGGAGCGCCAGCTCGGAGAGCGGGCGGGCCTCCATCGGCTCAGAAATAACCTCCACCACCCACCCCAAAAGTACCACCTCAGCTGCGACCAGCAGCAACTCATTGAACCACCCCCCCAGCTCGGTTAATTCGCGCAGAAGATTCAACTTCAACAACTCAACATCTGGCAGTGTGACCAGCGAGGGCAGCACGTTGACCCCCGACATCATCCACGACCTGCATGAGGATGGCGACTCGGTCTATTCATGCGATACCGAAGGCTACTACACGTCCTTCCACATGGACAGCGGCCTTAAGACCTTAAAGGAGGAGGACCTCACGTCGCCAGCCTTGCAAAGCAGCGGCGGCTTCAGCAATTCTGGCTCAAACCACACAGTGCTTTCCGCCGAGAATGAGTACGAACTGTTCGGCAAAGGGTCCACATCAACAACGACCAGTTCCGCTGGCACCGTCTGCACAATGCTTCGAGCTGCTGAGAGCAACCGGAGCCTTGTGATTGGCCCGGCGGTGCCTGAGCGCAAGAGCTCTCTGTCCAAACTCTCCACCAGAACCCCCGAGGACTCAATGGAGCGGGATTATGGCGATAAGACTGGAACAGTGAAGCGAAGCCCCGCTCTATCGCAGGCCAAGGTGGCAAAGGAGACTGCTGGCGATGTTTCTCCGGATAGTGGGCACAACACCTCCAGCTCGCCTATTGAGAGCGTGTCCAGTCCAAACGGGCTGCGGAGCGGCTCGGATTTCGAGTTCTCTGAAAGCTCCGACATGGAGGGCCCGGAGAGGATTGAGCGGATTAGAGTGAAAACCACCATCAACTCCAGCAGGATTCCGTCGATGTGCGCCATCACTCCCTCGCAGAGCGATGACGAAAGCTCCAGCAACGCCTCCTACAAGAAGCAGATCGAGGTGAATAACTTGAGGAACAACATGGAGCTAGTGGGGCTGAAGACCACGCATAGTAAGTTCAGTTTGAATCCGCAAACCGGGTATGTGACTGTGGAGAAGGTGGACCAGCCCGATGGGGTAAAGGGGAGAGCTTCGCTGCGCTCTGCGTCCCCGAGCGGAGGCAGCGTGATAATCAAACCAGAAGCACCGCCGTCCAAACCTATGCAGCCTGCGATCAAGTCCAGCCTGCTGCCATTGAACAGCATGCTCGGCAAGCTGAGGATCAACTTAACGAACTTCGCCTCCAGGCGAGATAAAAGCCCCAGCCAGAAACAGCCAGACGATCCCAGAGATGAACCTTTGGACGAATACGTAACTCTGGCAGACGTGCACAACAACAACGAAAAGTACTCGGCAGAGGAACGGAACATCTATGCGAATGACTTGGTGAACAGGAACCTGAAGACTGTCCTCAGTGGCAAGATCAGGGATATGGAATACGTGTCCCTTAACGAGCTGCCTGCCCTGGACAACAACAACTTCGTGAATACTCCCAATGCAGACTCTCTGGAGAGAAATCGCCGCTGCGGCGCCAGAGTGCTGCTGGACGCAGAAGGAAAGGTGGTCTACAGCTCGGACAGTCTTCGCAGACGCACAGCGCCCACTAGTTTCGAGCCAGGTCCGTTCGTTAAAACCTCCAGCCCCTGCGGAAGCCCGCAAATGATGAGGACATCGAAACCGATCCGTCCACCGCCCAACAGTAACGATCAGATGAAGCTGAACATTCCTCAGACTGAGTTCCACCGTCCAATGTCTCCGACCTCCGGCAACAAAGTGATTATCAAAGCGTCGGGCGATCCTCCGGAGATTGTTCGCACGCCTGCAGCAGTCGTGCAACCGGCCAGCCCCAAAATGAGGCCGATGAGCCCCAAAGGGGCGTACGTGCACGTTCAGGCACCGGGAGGACTGCTGTCGCCGCAAGAATTCAAAGGTAAGATTTTGGCCAGTAAGTTGAATGTAAATAATCTAAGGAGGAATGCCATTCACTCAAATGTGACTAAAAACTTCAATACGCTAGGAAAACACTATAATAAGAACAGCAGCTCGGGGACAATTAGTAATAATAATATCAATAATAACAACAATAGCATGGCGGGCAGAGTGATCAAAAGGCGCGAGAGCTACCGTTTGGCGAACGCCCCGATCAAAATTATCAAATACGAAAAAACCACCAGCAAGAACTTGTCGGATGAGGATCAGGATAGTTTCGAGCGCGAGCTGGAGGAGGAACTTCTCCAGCAGGAAATCAACTATCCGCCCACGGTTTCTCCGAAAATGTGCCAAAAGCATGTGCTGTATAGTCAAGAGCATGCCAAAAAAATGCTTCTCAGCTCCCCCAAGTCGGTTTCCATACCGCGATGCAGTGAGGAAACCAACTTGAGGGTGTTGAAAGCTTCTGCAAACGACACGGAAATATGGTAGAACATTGTTTGAACACACCGAGTCATCGGAAAAGCTTTAATCCGCCTCTGGGATAAATGCCAATGTGAGGCAAAGTGAGACGCGATTAGTTTTATAGCGGAAAACTTAGAAACGAAAAATACTCCTCAAGTTAGTTGTGCGTTCAGTAAAAAAAGAGTGCGCTCTAAATGTCGTTAAAATGCATTCAAATCAGATAAAATCCCGCATTTTGCGGGTTTTACGGTTTTACGCAACTGCAGACTCTTGAATAAAAAATTGCCACTTCCAAAGTAAAGCCAGAAGAAACTTCAAAGATTGACATTCTGTAGAAGACGCTTTTTTAAATCAAAATTTGGCCTAAACTTGCCTCCAAATGTCTGAAGTTCACATTTCGGGTGACTTTTTGCGACAAATCTACCAGAATTTACTCACGCACGTTGTTATAACTGAATCGAGTCACCAATGGTTCTTCGATTTCGCAAACTGAAACCGGCAAAACTAAAACACTTCAGACTTTTTTTGACAAAAACACGAAACTGAAGCCCAAATTTCCACATCTGAAGCGGTTCTTTAGCGAAGCTTCAGAATGAGCTTGATGTAAAAATACGAAGCCGCCCAAAATATTCGCAAAGTTTAAAATTAACTACGAA